ATCAATATGTTAATCTTTACGCTGTGTTCCACATGCACGCTTTTAAAAAAATAGTATCCACAATTAAATAAAGATGATAGAAATTTTCTTAATTTAATGACATATTCTTCTGAAGCATTTTACAAGCAACAGTTTAATAGAAAAAAATCACGATATTTAATTATTCATTAACAAAAAAACATGCATTATCAAAACATGCATTATGTTAAAAGGAAGCATAACTTATATTCCTCTGCCGACTTTTGAAAACATATATTATTTCATTTTATTAAAATATCTTCAAAAAATAAGCAAACGTTTGGAAAATTAGTTATCGTTGAACTGACTTTGTTTAACAAAATATAGCCCTATAACAAAATAAGAGCAGTTCAAAATGTACTATTTATTTTTCCTTTCCCGATCATAAAGTAATAAGAAAAAATACTTATTCGTTAAATTAAATCCAGTTTATTTAAAAATACTTTTTTTTAATCAAATTTTGCAATTATTAAATGCTTTTAACATAGTAATTGGCTCATTTTCTAAACTGAATTCATCATCATCAGTGTACAGTGAATGAAGCAGACTTTGAAGTTAACTATCATTCTAAAGGACTGGAGTTCAAATCCTAGTTAAGTGGTGGTTTGAAACCCACTTAGCTTCAGCTTGATGGGTTTCTGAGATAAAGCAGAGCTAAATTGTACTTAATGACTACTATATCGTCACAGTTAAACCAATGACCACGATGCTTTTGAGCCGTAACCTCGATTACCGCCTTGCTTACAATGGAATGTTGCAGCAGTGTTTTGTAACCATCGTTAAACAGCCAAACAAATTTCTGGTTTACGCCTACTAGTGTACAACTTCTTAGCCATGCAATTTTGAACCCAATGCAGAAGACAAGAGAACGCTTGGATCAAGTGTAGGGTGAAATTGCCTTCGTGGAAGTCTTTTTGATTTAACTAACGCGTATTTACGCTACATCAAGAGATAAACCACGAAAACCTCCCATGGGTGGTCTGATGGCATGGGGATTCTAACCAATGATCCGTCTACTACTGAGGATATTTTATGTCAGTCGGGGGCGGAATTCGTATCAACCAACCATCGCTGTGATTCAAATCCTGTTTACCTGATTGGAAGGCGCTCGGGAGTGTTTGTGGTAAATCAGAGATTGTTCTGTAGTGAATTTAAACTTTAGAAGTTTTTTTTCTTCTTTTTTTTTAATAAAAATTTCATTTGATTGATTTAACGTTGAGTCATACATTTGCTGCGACATAAAGAAAGAGCCCCGCAGACTCGAGACATACAGCGGTCTCCGTCCAAAGAGGTAACCCAGGTTCCAACCACAGCGATGACAAATCAATACGAATTCTGCTAACGATTCGCACCTATAACGAGATCTCCGTGTTTTTTTCTTCTTCTTTTCTTTTCTTCATGTAATGCAAATGCGAGTTGATTCCGTTTAAAAAAAAAAAAAAAAAAAAAAAAAAAAAAACTCCACGAGGGCGAATTTCTTCCAATATTTGATCCTCGAGGTCCCTTGTCATCTTTATTGGATTCAAAATTACAAGGCTACTGAAATGAACAGTGGTGGTCGTACCCTCAAAATTGGGTAGGCTGTTCATGGTGGAAAAAAATAAATTAATGCTGACATAATATATCCTCAGTGATTGAAGGAACATGGATTAGAGTATCCTTGCCTTCGAGCCAACCTTGGGCGTTCTCAGTGGTTTTCCTCACCGTGTAAAACAAATGCGAGTTAATTTCATAAAAAAAGTTGTCATGAATGCTAGTTTTGCATATTTCTTGATTCAGGAGTCACCTTGTCCTCTGGGAGGAGAATAAATTCGAAGGCTTCTGAGATTGATAGCTGATGTTTGATATAGGGCATTATAAAGAAGTTAAATGGAAGTTAATGATTAAAAAAAACCTTCAATGTAATTAATTTTCAGAAGTGTTAATTTTCGATATTATATGCTTCAATTTGGCAACATGTTATGTTTTTTATTACATGAAAAAAGTTACGGATCAAGGCCTAAAATTTCTAATACTCTGTAGATCATTAATTGTAAGCATTGAAAAAGTGGAATAAAGGCGTTGAGCAGGCTGATCAATATACGCATGTGAATTTTCAATATTGTTTGCTACTAGATGGAATGAGTGCTGGTTAAGAAAAGTCGAATGTTATAAGATTAATTTCTGATGTAGTTTAACAAAACAAATTCTGTAAAAAGGTTCTCTACCGCTTAAAAAGAATGCTTAAAAAATTAGACCAAGGATCATCTGAAAGCGAATTTTTTTGTTCTCGAAGAACAAGCAACAACAACAACAACAAAAAATAAGTCATAAGTTAATTCTGGAAATTCGAAATAAATACCATTTATAAAAAGATCTGATTATGATACTTTTGTAGAGAGATTAGAGCTTTAAAGAAATATAATTTGATTTACTTGGGATATGAAATTAACATCAATTATGATATTAAATAAAAGCTACGAAAATGAGTTACTGAATCTAATAATTCTTAATGGCATGAGGAAATAATGAAGATTGTATCTGATCAGTGTAGGAAAACTATATTTACATTGCATAAATACTTAATTCAACCGATTCTAATTCATGCTCTGAAAACATGGACTGATAAATACGAGGAAAACTGGTCGTTTTTTAAAGGAAAATCCACCGAAATATTCTAAAAGCAATACGAAATCATTGAATTTGGTATTGAAGAATCAATTTCCAACTTTATAAAAGCTATGTAGAAACATATGCCGTGATTTTCACTAACTTAGAAAGATTAAATTGGGCAGCTCACATCCTCGGAATCGAAGAAAACAGAAATTTCAGAAATAGTTTTGTTAGATGTAGCGAACGAGTAATTGGTAGGACTTAAAACAGTAAAAATTAAAAACTGGAAAATAAGGGCTTTAAATATGTGAAAATGTAAAACTGATCTTAAGAACATGATGTCACTCCTGATTACAAAAAAAAAACTTTTATTAAGACGAAATACCTTTGTTAAAAAAGATCAGAAATTTAATATTATTCTTAATTATTCCAATTTTATTCCTTTTAATTCCTTGGTATAACATTTAGGCTTAACTATTAAACAAATTTTTAAATACTTTACTAAATAAACATTTAAACCAGGACGCAAAATGCCTTCTGAAAATAGACTATAGAGTAGTGCTTAATTATTTAATGGAATTTTAATAATTAATATTTAAAAAAGGAGGAAGCAAAAGTAATTCAACTTTTAACGAAATCTTCAAAAATGTTTGATTTGTATTTTTTTTTAAGTCAACCTTTGAAGTAAACTTAAAATCTCAGATAGTAAAACTACGATCCATTAAGGATTCATTTTTACCGTTTTAAAAAAGAGCGCTACGTTAGAAATGATTTAGGTTAAAGAGAATCTCGAATTTCGTTAACCACGTAACATCATTAATTCGGAGAAGGAAGGTTTGCTAATGAATGGAATGAGGGCTGCCAAATAAAAAGGAAAGAAACTCATTTTAAGAATCTTTGGCGAGATTAGTATAACTGATCTCACATTTACATCACTTCAATGAAATTACTTGGGAAGTTTCTTTATTCTTTCGAAATTTAAGCTCGGAGTTCAAACGTGAATTAAATTTGCTTCATTAATATAGGTAGAAGAAATTTAATAACATATATAT